GACCCTGAGGTGGATGTCACAGCCTAAATGGGTTGAAGGGAATTTGTGTAATATTTGATTGTAGGCCTGTGCTTATTTGGTGTATAAAAATAATTAAAACAGCCATGTGTAAGAATTAGAAGGCTTCATAAAAATACTTGAATGGCAAAAAAGTTTTAGTTACACTGGAAGAAGCTTCTTAGCTCAAAAGGAAAATCTGTAACTACACAAGGGCTAAATTTTTTATTTTTGTTTATTGATGCAGTGTAACTGCAAGAAGAGTCTGACCTTATCTCCCAGGTACCTCTGAGAAGTTGATCTTGGGTTAAACTTGGCAATACATACAGACCTTATGCCTCCCAGGTTTTCAGGTAGAAAATGCAGAGAATCAACGACCCAGTAACAAGAACAACACGAAGAGGCAGAAGCAGGAGCTCTTTCCTGCTCCTGGGAGAGAGAACTGACAGAACCTCCCTAGCTGGAGCTTCTGGAGTCAAGGCAGCATATGTCTCTTTTAAACGTAAATCAGATGAGACATTAGAGTACTTTAAATGCTCCCATTAGTCTTCAGGCTGTCCACCGTAGAATATTTATCATATGGCTTGCTTCACGTGCTACATTCTGAAGTGTGGTGATGGTGCTTAAAATTCAAGATGAAATGTCAGTATGCATTTGTCCATCATCCCTTTGATAGTGTTTGGTCTCTTCTTAGTCTCTGACAGAGGCTCTTTGCATCAAACAATTGGTGTCCTTAGGCCAATCCATCACCCAGACATACCTGGAAATGAGACTCGAGCTCAGCAATCAGAGAGTAAGTCCAAGAGATGAATCTGTTCTCTGTCAGATTTGGAAGGGAGCTAAAAACAATTTCCCTGCTCCTTGCTGGCCCTGCAGCAGCTGTCACTCACGTCTAGCTCCAAGCAGAGCTGGCAGCTCGGGACTGAGCCACTGGCACAAAGGTAGGAATGTCAAAAGGCATCCCTAGAAGGTCTCAAGGCCTGGATTTGCAGCCCCTCTCCTTGGCAGTGAAAGGTGTGATCTGGAGATTTGATTCAGACACTTAGAGCTTACAAATCACCAGTCAAGGACAGTGGCTGCTGACAGCTGGCATCTGCTGTCATTGTAGGGTCTGTGTACCATGTGTCCCCCTTCCTGAAGAGGAAAGACAGGATTCTCCTGCTAGGGATCCCCTCAGGGACTTGTGGTGTTTCTTTGCCTGGTGATGCCTGGTGCTGTCCTGCCTCAAAAACATGCTCCACAGTGTCACCAAGCCCCAGGAGCTGGGCTTCTTCCCTGTACAAACCGCATCCTTGGCTATTACAAACCATTAGGCTGTGGACCCTTCTGTGTACTCAGCACAGGCTTGTGGGCTAATGGGAGAACCAGAATGTTTGGATGCATTTAAACCAGTTTGTTCTTGGACCTCGTGGCACTTGTTAAAAGTCTATGTTACTCCAGGTCTGAGGTGATGCAGGAATAAAGTGATATTCTGAGGATACATTTAAGCTTTCAGAATCAGCAGCTGCCAGATAGAAAATCTCCTGCACAGCTTTATTATTCCCACTTTCTGCACCCACTGTGTATACAGGAGGAAACTTAGATCTTATGAGCGAAGAAGTGTGTGGTCATGAAATTAAAGACTTCTTATATATATATATATACACGCATATACACACACACAGAGATGAAGGGATGGTTTAAGATGTCCTCTACTATGTTAAACCTGATACTTTGCTTCTTATTCATATTAATTTCCTAGGAATAATATTTTCTTTAAAGAAAAAATGATAAAAATAAATACTGTTATCCTGCATTAGCAGCAGGGCTGGAGCCCTGTCTTTCCCACGTCTCTTTCCAATTGCTGCTCTCTTCAGAGCCCTTCCTGACATGTGCCAGACCTCTCGGCCCTGTCCAAGCCTGGCACACCAGTGAATGAAATATTTGCATGAGGCAGCGTCATCTCATGTAACCTTTGACTTCCCATCTGAATGGAGACAGACTTCCTGTTCACTTCCTAGCTGGGCTGCAGCGTGGTCAAAAGCCACTCATCCTTCTGTAAAATGGGGCTGTAGTGCCTGAGGAGGCTTAAATGAGCTGCAGTAAAATTCGGGAGAGAGGAAGCAGGGCTCTATGTACTCACAGAGAAGAGATCCCTTCCTTATGTTCCCAAAGGAAAAGCCAAGTGGCACATAAACCACTACTCCACCCTGGCGAGGAAATTGTCTGGGCTGTTCTGCATTTACCAGCCACCCTGGAACTTTCCCACTTGATGTTGGTGCTGGGCAAAATGCTCTCTTCCAGTGCCATCCAGAAGGCTCCTTGCTGGCTGATGTGCTCCTGCTGCCCAGCTCTCTGCCTTCCCTGGATTTATGGTGGCCCTGTCTCCCTTGTTAGGCAAAGCTTTCCCTTGATGGGGTCTGCACTCACTTGGAGAAGGTAAAGAGTGCACAGCATAGGTCTCTCACATTCCCTTCCTTTTCCAGTCCTGTGGGACCTCCCTTGCTTTCAGAGGAAGATCAGGAGCAAAGGGGGAGCTGGAGAGAGCAGTAGCAACTCGCACTGGCTCTGCCACCAGTTCCTGCTGGTGTTTGTGATGGCTTTGACTGAGCCCCTAGCAGCACGGGCTGTCTTCCCAGACAAGGGAAGAAGCTGGGCACTTGGGAAGCTGTCCCTCCTTAGGTGACTCTGCCAATGAGACTTCTCTGCCTGAAGACCTTCAGAACTTGTGGGGGGGGTCCCCTCCTTGCTGCCCATCAGAACTGGATATGTTTGCAGGGTGTCCTTGGTTTTCTTCCTGTTTTTTCTTTGTTGACTGCCACTCCATAGTGCCCTAAAATACCCAGTCTTCTCCAGATCTCAGCTTTGAATGCCATACTGGACTGGGCAGCTACAGATCTTTCCCACTGGCTTCATCAAGCTTTTTCCAGTTTCCAGTAGTAGAAGGAAAATGCTCTTTTTGCTGATGGGATTAAAATGGAAGCACCTTCTGGGCTTTGTTTTGTCCTAACACCACAGTTGCCCTGATATTTTCCATCTCCATTTAAGGACTGAATTAAGATTCATTATATCCTGGGGTCTTTTTTGTACTCTGTTTAATATAACATTCTTTATTATTACTTATAGAAAAGCTGAGTTGCATTTACAGGAGAGCTTTCATGTGTTTAAATCTTTGGTTCCTTTATGTTTTTATATGGTCACCCGTTCAACTTTTCACTCACGGCTTGAACTGAAAACAGGAAAACCAGAAAGTGAGAATGTTTCCAAAATGTCGTTTTCTCTTTGCAGTATATTTATAAAAGTTGCAAAAAAAAAAAAAAAAAAAACAAAAAAAACAAAACAACCAACCAAGATCTCCCACACCAGCATTTCTGGAGCACTGAGAAAGGAACTATTCCTTTCTCTGTAGCTACTCCTACCTCTTTCCCTCCCTCTTTACCTTTTTTCCCCAAAAAGCAGTTTATTGCCGCCATTATGCAGTTATCGATAAGTGTGATCCTCAAGGCAGGTAATTCTCACCATTTACCAGACAGAGAAGCAGGAAAGCAAGAATCTTTCAGTGTGTCCAGAGTGGGTCAGTGCAGGAGGATGGAAGGGTCACTTTCCTTCTCCAGCTGCTTTTGACTAAATTGCTCAAGCTGATGCAATTTGACTAAATTGCTCAAGATGATGCAATGTCTCAGACACCCATTGAAGATTTCTGTGACCACAAGGCATCACAACCTACAGGGATGGCTCAACATCAGCATAGTAATGAGATAACCACAGGGAACCCAGAGAGAGAAACTGATGGTACCAGGAAATGGCTTTAACTCACAGCACAAACTGTTTTGTTGCCAGAATTGGGGATAAAGATAAATCACTTTCTCCTGTCTGAAACAAAAGGCTTTAACACCTTCCAGACTAGCAGCTATGGAAGAAAAGGCAACCAAAAGGGGCAATGTCTGGGGGAGGCTTAGAGCCTTTGCTACTGGACTAAATCTGCCTTTCATTAACCTCTCAGATTGTGTAATCAGATGAAGTCAAAGCCACATATTCAGATTTTGGATCTGATTTGATTTCTTAGTCCAGTTTCTTATCTCACAGTCTATGGATGAGTATCTTGTTTGCCTGTTGGTGGAAGAAGTTTGGAGCAGGGTGTAGTATAGATGTGGTTTTTTTACAGATATTTCATGGTCTAAATAATGCTGGCAGATACTGTTTTCTTCTACCACAAGGAGAACATACAATTTATTCTTGTCTGATTATATTAAAATAAATACAGCACAAAAGGAAAAGGGAAGAAAACCACCAAAAAAGGATATGAAGATATAATCCCTTCTAGCCAAAAAAATACCAACTCTATGACATCCTTGTGTGTGGGGAAACTCAGTTCCTAGATTATTTTGATAAACTTTGTTACAATCAGTTTCACACAAAACCCGGTTGTTTATTTAATCTTAACTGCTTGCAGAAATGTCATCCAGTAAGGACGTCGAGGTTATTATTTTTCTTTTAGTTTAAAAAAGAAGAGTTTGTTTATTTTTCTTCTGTTATTTGGTTTCTCCATGTAGATTTATAAGGGCTCTGTCACCAATAGTCTTGTATTTGCTTGTGAGCTGGGTGTGTGGTTTGTCTGCCTGGAAGGGCAGGAGCATGCACAGTGGGAGGCAGCTGAGTGGGGACCACATGGAGCCCCGTGATGCTTCCTGCACAGACAGCATGGACATGCCAAAGTGATCCTGAACTGGGAGCGAGTCATAACACAGTGTCAGTCCATTCCAGGATAGTGCCATCACTACGAGGGAACCAAAACCTTTTGTGTTACCTACAGGGTGAAATCAGAAACCCCTCTCTGTCCCATGTGTCCCTGGGTCCCCTTCTGGAAGCTCACACAGGCAGGACTGTGGTGGCAGTCATCCAGGTTTCATGCTGACAGCCATGGTTGGAGCCAGAGATGAAGCTCTCTCTGCTGGGTGCTGCTGTGCTGTCCCACATGGCAGGTGATGCCCCTAACCCTCCCCTTTCGTGTGTTCTCTCCTCAGGCAAGATCCTGTTCCGGAGGAGCCATGTCCGAGATGTAGCAGTGAAGAGGCTGAAGCCCATCGACGAGTACTGCAGGGTAAGGGCTCTGGGGAGCACAGCCCTCCCGCCTGGGGGCTCAGGGCTCCACCTGTGCTGGCATTTCCCTGCTGGAGAGTGCTGACACCCATCACAGGGAAGGATGGTGCTTCCCAAACACCACCATGACTAACAGGGCAGGTGGAAACAGGCTGCTGTTTGCTCCCAGCGTCCTCGCAGCATTTTCCCTGGCAAACTTTATGTACTGGTTTGGTGCCTTGTTTAGTCAGTAAAGGCTCTAAGCCTCGCCTGCCCTAAATGTGGATTTTATTTCTGCATCAGCTTCGATGATTCAGGAGTTGAGCAGGCAGAGTGGCCCGACTAAGGTGGTGTTTTCTTCTGTTGTCTGCCTGTCTGTCCCCTGGTGCCACATGAGGGACAGCAGTGGCTGGTGCAGCAGTGAGGGAGGACCTGTGTCTTCCAGGAGTGCTTCTCCTCATGAGTGAAAGCCTGGAAATTTGTTGCTGGACAGAAAAGCTTGACTCTGTTGAGAAGAGTATTAAGCCACCTAATCTTCTCTTTCTAAACTAGAGTTTATGATTTGATGATAATTAATTCTCTGTCAGTAGAATAAAAGTCGTTTGCTTAGGCAAGTCCTACTTGCTTAGGCAAGGAGGATTCCCAGTTTTTGCAGAGGTATCGAGTCCGTCAGCACATTATTTAAACCCCAGACTTCCTCTCTTATTTCCCTTGAGGTTTTCTTTCCATTTTTAGAAAGTCAGAGGAGCAGGTGGAGGGGGTAAAAAGCATTCCCAAGAACTTCTCCAGTCAGACATTTGCTCATCCAAAATTGGAAGCAGATTGCCAAAGTGCCTGAGGCGTGCTGGGGGTGGTGGTGGCGGTGAAACCCATGCCATCTGCACCCCCGGGGTGAGGAAGCTGCAATTAAAGTCTTCTCTCATGAGATCAGGCTTTCTTGTGTGACAATTAGTGTACTGTCTTCCTGCTGGCAGCCAAATGGCTCTTTCTGAAATAAGTAGGGTCTCAGTGGGTCCGCACCCGTCCTCCTTCAGACAGGAACTGCCGGCGACAGGAGCAGCCAGGGCTGGCTGATGTCAGGGTTCACCCAGCAGATGCGTGGTGGGGAAAGCAGGGACTTTGTCACCCAGCAGTGAAAGCAGTGACCAGGGGCAGCTGGATCTCTGGGACCCCATTGTCTGTGTCCCAGACAGACCTGGCCTGACCCAGCCAGGCCTGCTGGGGCTCCACTGGTCATGGCCAAGGGGTGTCTTGTGGCTGATGGCACATTCATTGTCACTGTGGTGCTGTGATTCCTGCTTTCCTCATTTCCTTTTTTCTCTCTTGGACAAGTCTGGCTCAGGTCACAGAATCATAGAATGGTTCCACTTTGGTTCAGATCTGCTGCTGCTGCTCGGACATGCTTGGATACGTCCCTGAAGCCAAGCTGTTTACTTAATCCATGTATTGATAGATGCTGCTTTTGTGAGCAGAGACCCTGCAGTGTTGGATTGGCCCAGTTTCCCACAGCCCAGTGTTTCCTGTCTCCAGTAGCAGCCACAGTGGTTCTCAGCACTGAGTATCACAAACCTTCAGCGACTTCTCCAGAATATTATTCCAGTGGTCTCTGGCACATGTTTCTTGTGCCTGATGTAGTGTCTTTTTATTTCGTTTGCAGTTTACTGTAATTTGTATTTAATTTGCCTTTGTACCCACTTTCTGCTTTTCTACCCTTCTCCAGTGGATGTTCTGACTCTTTAGAGAATTGTATGGAACTGTAGAGCAAGAGTATAATTTTGACAAGTTCAGTCCTACTTCTATAAGAGTTCAAAGCTTATGTCCCATGTTACTCCTCAAATGAGTAGGCTGAAAAATTTGAAAAAATTAGAGAATTATGCTGGAATGATGTGGGTGAAGCTGATGGAATAAATGTGATGTGGGATGATAAAATGAATAAACAGAACAATAGACCTCTATCCCCTGGAATCTGTGTGGCAGCAGAGGGGGAGGCAGGTTCAAATGGCAAATTTTTTTTGCAAGGTAAGAGTTCTGTGTCCATTTCACCTGTCCTGGAAAGCTGAAGCACAAATGGGGGATGCAAATGTTTGACCATTTGTTGTCTTGTTTTTGCAGACTGTCAGTGTGGAAATTTGCATGTCTGAGAAGCAGGTCTCACTCCTGATGTGTGGAAGTGTTTGTGGTTTCTGTGCCAGGAACAGGCAGAGGCTGTCTTAGAGTTTGTGGGGATACTTGGCAGTAAGGGGAGGTCTGCAGAAGATTCTCTATCAGGGGCATGATCCCTCTGGACCCTACGGCTTTGACCTCTGTACCACTCATGCCTGGGTTATTCCCAGTGCATTGTAGCAGCTTAGAGAAATGCCATCACAGAGGTAACTAGGCCAGTGGTTTTGCTAAGGCTGCAAGAAACTTTGAAGTTGCAACGAAAACTAGAGGAGTGGGATACATGGGAAGATTTCCAGGAGTTTTCTCATCTGTAAACATGAAAGTGCAGAGTCTGGATGTCCTTACTGGTAACCTGAGTGAGTTACCAAACGAGCTGTGTTTTGCCAGTAAATGTGTGCTGCCCACTGGAATTAGTCTCTCTGGATGATTTCCCTCTTAACTGTAGGCTTGGAATTAGTTTAGTGTGATTTAAGGTCTTCTGGGCTCGTTGGGCCTGATTTTCTAAATTTATTTAGGAATTTTTGCCAACGTGAAAGAAAGAGCAACTTCATAGAGCTCCCTTCCCAAGGGCATTTTATTTATGAGGCTTTTGATCTCTCAAACACACCTCTGGTGAGTGTTTGTCCTGTGTGTGTACCATCCTGTCTTCAAGAAAGACCTTTCTGGTCAGTGGCTCACAAAACTGTCGCTCTGTCCTTTCACAGCCCTCTGGGAAAACTCGGGCCAGAATTTGCTGACTTCCATATTTGTGTGTGCTGATCCTAATTGAGGGAAGCATCTTTGTGCAGGGCAGACCTTAAGATGTAACATCCCATTGTCATAAACCTGGATTTGTCACGTGCCTTCATGCTGTCCCATAAAGCTGGGTATGGTTTTAAGCAGAAGCTTAGGAGCTTGTCTATAGTGAGGCTTGAGTACCCAGATGGACACCACCTAAATAAAAATTAAATGAGCAAGTCACATAGTGCCAGGAAGTACTTTTATTAATGTTATTCTTTTATGAATGTTCACTATTTTGGACACCATATCCCAGATGGACACCACCTAAATAAAAATTAAATGAGCAAGTCACATAGTGCCAGGAATACTTTTATTAATGTTATTCTTTTATTAATGTTCACTATTTTGGAGACCATACTTCACAAATATAATTACCTCCCTCTTGGTCTCTCAGTCCTGCCTCTTTTTCAGGGTTTAATCCTTGAACCTGTCAAGACAGGTACACAGGCATTTCTCTCTGTATCTGTTGTACAATTAAGCTAGTTTCGTTGAAGATGGAATAGCAGTCCTGGTTAAGAATGGGAGTTTAACAGAAATACTTTCAAAATTTATCTTTTGTTAGTGAAATACCTTCAAACTTGAGCTGACATTTTTAATCCATGTTTCAGAATCCCAATGCATTTAGACTGGCTGCAGTAACGAGAGTTAATTTTTTGCAACACTCTTCTCAGCACCTGGAGCAGAGCCTTGTTTTCCATTGTGTTATGGTGCTTCCATGCCAGAAGCTCTTACAATGTTCCAGTTACTTTCAGAACTGCACCCTCTTTCCTCCTTTTCTCAGCTCTTTATTTATTCCCACTTCTTCTCCAGTCTGAACCATCACCATGCATTCTTCATCCACTTCTCTGCCTGACTGTCAGTGTTTGCCATCCACCATTTCAGTGCTTTAGCTCAACCTTGAGGTTCTCAGTAAAACAGAAGGTGTTTTCATATAGATGAAACAATTTATTTCTTTGTTCTCAGAAATTATTTTAATTGCACCTTCCCCCTGGCTGGACTCATGACCATTTCCAAACATCTGGGTCTAGTGACTAATGTTAATGAAAATGATAAACAATTAGAGGAAAAGTAAGGGACTCATAACTGTGCAGTATTGTGAACTGGCACTGTGTATTTATGCAGAGCTGGGAATAAACCCACTGGATATTAGGGATTTAAAAGCTGTGCATCTGAAGTGTCTCTGGAGGCTGTGTGGAGACAATCAATGATTCCCCCCTTCCAGAGCTAGACACCCATGGCAGGGGGTAGACAAAGCGCCCTCTGAAGATGCTGCTCTTTCTCTAGCAATGATACAAGTTGATAGACAAGTGTGACCAGTCTCCCATTTAAGACACATGAAGTTCAGTGGGGTGAATACCATTCTGTGCACATACACACACATGCTATGCATCTCTACACATACCCATCTCTACATCAGTTTTTTATAAATGTATCTACAAAAATGCAACCCACAGCCCTCAACACATCATTAGGAATGCCTGCAGGGTTTTATATCATGTATTCCATGAAGCCTTTGAGCTGTGATACAGTCCCATGGAGCAATTTCCAGTCCATGTAACCTTAAGCAATGGACCTCTGCCTGCCCTTGGTGCTCTGCTGCCTTTGAATGCTGTGTGTGGCACACAGCAGCTTTCCACAGGGGCTCTCAGGGTAGCTGCCCATCCCCAGCGCCGAGGGCTGCCTGCTCACACCCTGCCTGGTGTTCCAGCTTTTCAACAGCCTTTTGAGTCACCTGCTCTGCAAGGCTGTAAGCTGTAATATAGAGCCAGCCATGATTACAGGCTGGAATGACACATAAAAGCCTGTCTCCTGAGGCACACGCGAGGGCTGAGCAGTGCACATCTGCCTGTGCATGCCAAGCAAGGAAACATGCTATTAGTGATAGCACTCGACATTTGTGCAAGGCTGAGTTCTGCTTGCTGGCTCTTTTTATCTCTCACCTTTCCTGTGCAAGTTCCTTGCTGTTCCTGGATGCTTGCTGTTTGTAGCTGTGCGTGTTTACCTCTGGTTTCCACATCCCCAGAAGAATGTCACCTCCCTGTCCTTTCTCTCCTTTGTGTTCCTCTTTGTCTTTACACTTCTTCCCTTGACCCTGCAGTCTTTCCTTCAGGCTGTTGCAGCTCTGCCCTGGAACTGTCTTGCTGGAAATGCCAGAAGCTTGCATTTTCCCCTTGCAGGGTGACAGTGGTGTCTCTGATCTCCTCAGTGCACTTTTTGTTTGCTCACCAGGATCATGTTGGCTTTGACTTGTTCATGTGAATGTTGTGTATTTGCTGAAGAGACACTTGTCTCGCTAAGCAGTGTCACTTCTCTCTGCTGCTATTCAGAATTTAAGAGAAGGATCCTGATTGGTTTTATACCCTTGGTTGCACTTTTTTTTTTACCATTTCTTAGAGTTTCTTACCACTTCTTTGGGTTTTGTTCCTTAAAAAAAAAAAAAAAAAAGGAAAAATTGACTGGTTTGACTTTACACCTGAGCCTACCAAAAAGCATGCAATGGCAGGTTACTATGGGGTGGATTTCAGTCCATCTCTGTGCATAAGGCTGGAAATTGCAGCATGCTGAGAGATGATTCAGAAGCAGAAGAGCCAGCCCTGCCCCAGGGTGGGAAGGTGGATGGCTGGGTGTGGAAATGACTGGCTGATTTTTATCCATTCCCTGCAAAAGCCTGGAGTCAGAGGGGTGCTTTTCAGTTATCTCCCTTCAGCTCAGCAGGACCACAGTGCTGCTGGGGATTTCCAGGCAGCCAACCACGGACTCAGGGGGTTCAGATTTCCAAAAGCTTCCCTTGATTTGCGAACAAAAATCTCCACAGCAGCTTTGCATTCTCCATCACTGAAAACCCAGTCTGTGCTCCAGCTCACTATTGACATCTGGAGCCTGGTTCTTGGGAAGGGGGGAGCACCTGTGACCTGTAGGGAAGTGGGGACTCTTTGGGAAGGCCCTGATGCCCGAGACCCCCCGTGAGGGGTGTAACTCGGGTGTTTGTGTTTCTCTAGTAATGATACGTATCATTTGCACTGCTTGCTCTTGCCCCATTGACTGTGCAAGACTGAGCCCTTTGGGGTTTCAAAACACACTGTAGATATTGAATATCTGAGCCTCCTAACCTTTCTGCAGATTAGGTAAGTGTTATTGCTCAGCATTGCAAGGGGGTAACTGAAGATATTTCCCAGCTGAATTTGATGAAAAGGGGTTAAGTAACCTGCCCTAACCAAAAAGGGTGTGAGCAGTAGAGCCAGTGCTAAATATCAGCTCCATCCACTGTTGGTTAGACAGCATTGCTTTGCTGTCTCTTGCTTGGGGTGCAGATAAATAAATGTTGTTTATGTTAGCCTGTGCTGGTGAGGCATGGCTCTTTCAACATGCTGTGATCATTACTGTTCCTGGGCACTTCCTGACTTCCCAGTGTTATTCCTGGTTTGCCAGCTGGATGCATGTATTTATGTACAGTAGGAAAAAAGGCAGAGCTCACACCTTTGTTACACTTTTAGACAAGTTTGAACAAACAGAGGTGGAGACCAGGGCATCCTTTGTTCCTGTAAAAGTGCTAGAGCTTTTCAGCTGTTCTGTTTCATCCTGCCTTAGTGCAGCAGCCAGTGGTGCTTACCCTGGCACTTGGACCCACCAAGCTGTTGCCCAGCTTCTGCATCTGATGCTGCTTCCTTTGCAAGGCATCTTTTTCAGCTCTGTAGTGCAACTCCACATGACCAAAGGCCAAAGCCTCATTTTTCATAGGCCTAGTGATACCAAATGGATTTTCCTAATGTCCTCATAACATCCTTTCACAAAAGAAAGGAGAGCTGTAGGTGTGGAAGCATTTGACTTTGAATTTACGAACACCTCAAAACAAGACCCAGTCATCTATTACTGGAGACTACAGTTTCATAGCATTTTTTCCAACTCTTTTCCTTCACATCCCCAAGCAAATGTGGTCTTGGAAACAAATCTGGCCACTTCTAAAGCCTGGTTAAAAACAGCTGTGATGGTAACCAACTGCCTTGTCCTGCCTTTGTGCTTTGGTTGGACCTTCTGGTGTGTCTGACCAAGATCAGTCAGATGTCTCATGGTTAATATAACCTGTTCACCCTAATGCATCTTCATTTAGTTCTGGTGCAATTTTTCATCCATCTTTCAAGATTGTTTGTCCTACTTTCAGCTAGGAGAAGTGCCAGACAATCTCATTTTGTCAAACAGGTTTACAGCAGCTCTGAGAAGCTTGGTCTATATTTAACCTGTGGCCTATTTTCAGCATAACATAGCGCAGGAGGAGGTGAAGTCCAGCCTCTTTTCCTCTCCTGCTTGTCATTTCTGGAGGCAGTCTCCCACTCATGTCACTGAGAGCTGCTGCCCCATCTCTGTGGGCTGGGGACAGCTCTTTAACATCTTTTGGCATGATAAAGCTCTAGATTCTGAACAGCAAATTCACAGCATGTTTTTGCCTTGTGTGCTTGTTTTAGGTCTTGTTTTCCAGTACAATTCCACATAATGTGGTTGATGCCCAGACTGTACTTAGCTGTTGCTGAATGTGACAAGTGCCACGTCCCTTTGCCAAGGCAAGAGCACAGACACTGTTAGCCAGGATGTGCTGTGCAACCTTCTTCATGCAGAAAAAGCCTCTCTGTGTTTTGGTTGGGTTTGGTTTGGTTTTTTTCGGACACTTAATCAAACTTCCTTTCCTGTTAATTTAGGAGCAAATTGTTGTTTGGTTTGGTTTGGTTATGGATTTTTTTTTTAGCAAACTCTGCTTTTTGTGTGGACAGCTTAATGGAAAGCTTTATGGAGCACATTAATCTGTTGTCTGAGTGGGTGTTGAATTTGTGTGCATTGACACAAGGCCTGTAAGCCCTAACCTCAGCATTTGAGGTGCTGTGCAAGCCTGTGCCACAGACTGTCCCAGCCACAGAGCACTTACCTGTGCAGTGTCGTGGTTTTGCACTTATGGACCAAACTCTTCTCTTGAGCACATGGCAAAATAAATGACATTGGCTGATTCTAAGAACTATTGCTTGTCTGAATTCATCGCTTCCTACCTGACATTTGCAGTCAAGGCTTGCTGTTTCCTTTCTTCTCAGGTAAGTAGCCAGGTGTGCTGCTGTTCTTGAGTATTCCTTTCCCCCTGCCAGGACTGTTTTGCCTCCTTATGCTTGGCAGTTTAGATGTTTGAGGCCATGTTTCAAACTTGGCTTATGTCTAAGTGCTTCTCCCTCTCTGTTTTGTTTTGCAGGCACTGGTTCGGCTTCCTCCCCACATTTCACAGTGTGATGAAGTCTTCAGGTTCTTCGAGGCTCGTCCAGAAGACCTTAACCCTCCAAAAGAGTAAGTGTTGTGATGGTTTTCCAGTGCTGCTCGGTACAATTTGATTAGCTGGAAGGAAAAGGTCATTTGTTTTCATTACTGCTGTAGACGTGGGAACAGATTTTGTAGCTTTCAAGTACTACCTAGAAAATGCCCAGCAGTTACACACAATCACTTTGGGTGAGTGGAGGACAGGGAAGTCAAGCAACCCTCAGACACAATTTTCAGCCATCCTCCACCCACCTTTGCATTGTTTCTTGCTCATGGTTCTAGTGAGGGAACCTCCCATGGTTTGGAGGTTTTACCTGATAGTTATCACCAAAGAGTAATTTAGTTCCCAAAAAGCATTGGCTCAGTAGCAGGGGGAAATCCTGCCAGTAAGCACTTGGCTCATAATTACCAGCTGCTTCTTTAAATGTACTCCTGCCCAGAGATACTTAGTTATCGGTAGGGAGCAAGATTGTGGTCCAGATCCAAAATTGTCTCTGGAGAGTCTATTCTTTCTAATCAGGAAGCCAAGAAAAGGAGGAGGGAAAGAGTTCCCATTAAACACGAGATAGAATTGTAACCTTTACCTTGGAGCAGACAGGCTGATTCATGCTGATGCACTTAGGGTCCATAGGACTCATTTATCCAGGGAAAGCATTGGCAGGAGGGTATTTACAAGCAACAGTGCTGCCTTGCCTGGTATTTCCTTTTCTCTTTCATCCCAAACAGGATATATTTTATTGTACTCTGCAATAAGATTTTGATTTGGTCCCATTGTATTTTGTGCTGCTTTGTTGCATGATTTGAAACCTGATTGCAGGCTGTGTTACTGTAGTCTGCTTTCTCTGTGTTTGCACAGCCCACTGGTAAGGGGAAATGGATGCAAAGCTTATGGGCTTTGGGCACTTCAGCACATGCAAACCTGTAGTTACTGGAAAGATTTGTATTGGCTTCAGCTGTCTGCTCCCATGCTGGTGAAAAAGAGAGGAGGACCTTTGCAATTTGATTTCCCAGACTTTGTTCCTTGCGTATGCATGGGTTTGTACAAGGAGATGTGTTAGCATGTGTACTAAAGAAAACACCACTAGCATCACTGAGAGCAAAGTCCTTTTTTTGTTTCATGAATGAAGGAAAGAGCAGTTTTAAATCAAAAGTTTGGATAAAGAGCTGTTTTTTTATTTCCTATCTAGCCTTGTTTTAGGAAAATGTCTGGTGAGAATAAATATAGTTGCTTGTTCATTGTTAAACACATATTGCAAACTTAGAAAACATTGCAGCAAAATAACCCTGTTCCACTCTGAGACCTACTGATTAACACAGTTTCTATTTAGGGTCTGCAAGTAGGTTTGCTTGATCCCACAACACCCTATTTGCAATGCAAAGACACATCCCCATGTGCCAGGCACAAACAGACACCCCAAATAAGAGTTAGGTCCCAAGAATTATGGAAGAGTTCACATGGAGGATCTCAAATGGAGGTTATGAGTCTGCTTGCAACTCCTGTCTGCTTTCTGTACTGATGCAGCCCCTACAGCACCTCTGCAAGGCAGGGGCCTGGGACCCAGGCCCACCCCCAGATGTACACCAACCATTACGGCTTGCATCCCTTGTCCCTACTCAAAGTTGTAGAGGGCCTGTTTGACAGCCTTGCAAGAATTTTCAAGTTATCCCTTCACTCCCCTCTGGAAAAACAAAAAAGACTAAATGTTCTCAGCCCAAGCCTTGCATCCTATTCCAACCTAGTAATAACTGTGATTTATTTCCCTGGAAAATGTAGAGCAATAACCTGATTAAATCTCACTTCACTAATGTCTGCAAGACATTAATCTAGCTGGGTTTAAACAAATCCTACCTCTTCTTCTGTAAGCAAACAGATCTTAGGGAAGGTGTCTAAGGTTTCTGCTGGGAGTGCTTCACAAAAGATGTATTGTTGAAACTGAAGATTAGTCTCTACAAAAAGATGATGTAAAAGCCAACGGAAACATCTTAGTGTTTTTCTTCTGTGAACTGAGGGGGAAAGGAGGAGATCTGAGGCTCACTGGACCACTGTGTAGGGTCCGGGGGAAGGACACCTCCAGGGCTATTCTGAACCTCAGCAGGCACTGCAGGAAGGAGCATGATTCCAGAGAAATCCCAGTGTATTCCCTTGTTTTCTTACTCTGCCAAGCCCCTCCAGAAACACTGAGCCAGTGGTGCTCAAGCACTGTGAATTCAGTCTTCCCTGGACCTCATGGTTCATCATTCCTCTCACTGGAGGTAGGGCTGTAGCCTGGAGGCATCATCTAGACTATCTTAATTATGTTATCTATTTCTTCAGCTGCTTCTTTTAGCCATCAGCACAAAGGTGGTTTGTATGTTGATCTGTCAGCATAGACACTGGCATTCAGCTTGCTGTGTTAAAGAACAGTAGGCAACTTGGCCACCAAGGGGCAGAGAACAGAATTGCTTGTGCTGCCTTCTTGTCTCCTCTCTGTGCACAGTGAGATGATCTTTAGTTTCATATTGACCTGCTCAGTTTTTATGCAGCAGCTTGGCCTCATAAGACAAAGCCTGACCTAGGGTTTAATTAATTAACTAATTTTCAGGAGTGTAACCTTAATCCCATGGGTATTTGGGGTGTTGAACCCAGAGAGTCTATTGAGTTATTGCATGTCAGTGACTGAACCTGTGCTTTCAGACAGAAATACATGGAAGCTTAAACATTGAGGGAGGAGACACAAAAATGTCTAGTTTACCTTGCAGCTGGGATGTGCAGAGATATATCCTTGCCTTTAATTGCTGAGCCATGGCTTGCAATGGTGCACTAATCTATCTAGCACTGCATTAATTCAGCCACAAAGCCGAGCTCTTCACTTCTGTTCCTATTGTCCTGAAAGACATCAGAATTCTCCTGTAGCTCCTTAGGTATTTTTACAAATGTGTTGCTGGCTTCTTCCCTACAACCCTTCACCTGCCCTGCCCTTGCCTGCTCCCTGCTTCTTTGTGCGGTCCTGTCCGGGCTGTGCCGTGTTTGGCTCGCCGGCTGCTCCCTACGGAGTCATTTCCTACTGCTGCCTGCTCCAGCTGCCCACAGTGCTGAGCAGCACACAGTCCAGCTGCAGTGAAAGCTGGCCTTTCCCCATGCTCTCAGAATCTGGCCAATTTGTGCAGTTGAATTCACAGCTTAGGTTTTCTGTTTCCTGCTTTGGTGATGGTCCAGGCTTTCGAGTCCTGTGACAGTAGGCAGAAGGTATTTCTTCCAGCCCATTAAATCTGTCCTGGGTACAGCAGCTCACAGGCAGAGAGCTGGAGAGATGTCTCAAGAAATCTCAGCATTTGTACTGGCTGACAGTCTCCTCCAAGCCTGCTCCTGCTGGTGGAGATAGCTCCCAACAGCAGGTTTCCTTCATGTGGCATGGGACAGACCATAGGAGGACACTAAATTCCTGTGTGAAATGGTCTGGGAGCATTCTCAGGCTGTTCCACACGGTGAAAGCATGGCTTTTGCACGGGAGCTGGCGGGCCAAGGGAGCAGTGATGTGCCAGGCAGGGTTGGGAGCTCCAGTGACAGTGTTCCCAGGGCAGCTGTCTGACTGCTCTCGCTCACCCCTGGGATAGCTGCAGGGAAACAAGCTTCAAACCATCAGCCCTGCTAGAGGAGGAGCAGGTCTCAACTGCCTCTGTTTCCAATATGTGACATTTTAGTGTTTGGGCAAACACCTCTGTCTGTAGGCACATGGCTGGGATTGTGTCCTTTACCATGCCCGTGTAAGGGCCAGATCCTGCACTGCCATGGGAAAAGATACTGTGAGGTAAGAAGGAAGTGTGTTTTTATTTATCCTTTGTTCTAAGTAAACACCATGTCACTAAAAAACCATTCATTTACTGGATACTTCTGTTAATAATTATAATTACTGATAACTAAACCAGAGGTAGATTAATTTCAGATTCTGCTGGGGATTTAAATTCAAGGCTGAGGTCAGGCCAGGGCTCACAGTCAACAAACAAAATCTCAGAAACCAATTTTTTAAATGATTCTGTTTTACTAGAAAAAACAGAAATACCAAAAAAGTCGGATTAATCAATTAGACATTGCATATGGTTTCCTGGTCTTAAGGCTTTTTTGCAGTGAGTTTCACAATATCACAGCCAGACCACTCTTGTGAGAGTTTGTTTTTTCTTTGTGTCTAGATCCAGTCTAAAGAGCAGATCAAGAGCCAAGAATTCAGTTCTCCAATACTTCCCTCTATAGAAATGCATGCAGTCTCAAACAAGATTTCTGTTTAAACCACCACTAATAATATTATCAGCCGAATTTAAAGCAGTGTTCAGTATCTGAGAATAATTTTCCTGTGAGAATCATAAAGCAATTTTCAAACTATATGCAAATCTAGAAAAGCTAGGGAACTTATAGGTATATGACATATTATGAGGGTTCATGCAGAAAATGGAGTTAAGGCTGATGGTGCCTTTAGTAAGGAACAGAAATGCTCTGTTGTGGTCTGTAGCCAAAAGCTTTACTGATAATATCTCTATCAAATAAATATTGGTGTTACACTCGGATGCTGTGATGCCGGGCAGCCACTGTAAAATGGAAGCTGGATTCTCATATTATTCTTCATGTATTACAAATTCCTGATAAGGATGCTGAACAGAAATAGCCAGGGTAATGGAGGGAGCATGTTAAGGAAGCTGCTTTAGTTTATGAGTATATTGGTGCTAACTCACAGCTCCCTAATACACTATCTTCTATCCATAAGCATGAGTGTGTTTATATACAATTATTTCTGTTTCCCAGATCTGCTCTGTAATAACAATTCAATTACCTATTGGTAGAGGAGGAAACTTTTCATGTGCAAAATATCTGTATTTATTCTGATTTGTTTGATGTTATGAAAATATTTTCTCTTACATTTCATCCCTTATATTTCATTGCTTATATTTCACTTATATTTTATCGCTTTTGAATTGTGTTTCTGCATTGGGAAACACATTGGACAGCTGAGTCTCTGAGCAGATGTGCTATGAGGAAAGCTGGCATTCTTTTTTTGTGA